TAGCAGTTTCACCTATAGGTTTTCCACCTTGAATGTGCAACAAAGAGAATGTAAACAGAGAGCTAAAATCTACAGTTTTAAATAGTTACACAGTGTAAGCTATTCTCTGAAATCCTTTTTGTTACATGAGAATTCTTTCCTTTCATCAGCCGTCATTGTAATTCTTTAAACCAGAGAATTTCCAAGGATTCAGGCTCCAGTTGATTTTGATCACAATTCCACCTACCTGGTAACCAGGCTTCTGGTGAACTGGAACATCACACCTAAAAGTGGCACAGGATTCCAGTAAACAGCTGTTCCAAAACCAGGGTACTTTAGTCTTCTTTGTAGACACACCTCCAGGGCAAAGTGAGGGCCTAGGATTCTGGGCAAAACTGATTTGATTCACTTTATAAGCTGGGTTATTTCTTTTCCCATTAGGCGACGATCCAGACTCTCTCTTAGACCCTTTCTCTGCCTCCACCACATCTTTCTATCACTCAAATGTGTTAGTCTCTAATAGTCAACTCTTCTCCCTACATTCTCTCTCTCTTTCTGAGAATCCACCCATCCTCAAAGCTTCAACTACCAGCTCCAGGCAGATAAAAGTCAATATTACAGATTTTACCTCTCTCTCTGTTGGCAGATTGCATAGTAATCAAGAGTGCCAGCTCTGAGTTGTTGGCTTGAGGGAAACTCCTGTAGCTACACTACCACCTCTTAACCATACCACGACCAAGTGAGAAGAGACCTAATCTTGATGACTGGAGGATGCCTTTAGAAAGAGGAGGCTGGCATTCTTTTTCCCTATTTGGATGGCTGCCTCTTGGAAGGCAGCTCACTTGTTGGTCTATCTCATGCTTTCTTGAATAAAAGACTTGATTAAAGTGGCTAGATTGGAGGAGCTCCTGGAATGCTACTTCATGGTGTGGCAAGGAGGTGTGAGTTTCCCCTGGGGTATCTAGTTAGAACTATTCTTGGAGACATATACCTGGGCTAGAGTTTTTCTTGCTGGTACCCCAGCCAAGGATCAAGAGGCTGTAAGATATAACGTTGGGGATGGGAGCTGGGGTGGGCAAGGTAGAGCCAGAGCAGAATTCCTAACTGAATTATAATACTGTAAAGAGAGCCCTACCTCGCAGGCCATCCAAATAATTTATACATGTGACTTACTATAGACTCAGCATTTGCACACCTATTACACAGAGAGCATAGCAGGCTAGTTTGTGTTGGCCAGAGAAGCAAAGATAATCTAAAGAAAGAGAACTACAACCTGGGCAATTGAGTCAAGAGACATCTGCCATTCCTCCATTGTTTCCCCCAAGCATCCCTCAACACTAGAGGTCATAGACCTTGAAAAGAGAATGAGAGAACCAGATTGTGACCCCAACTCCCAGCCCCAATACACTCACGCATGCCACACAATGCCAACATTCAACCTGGACTTGACCACCCAGTCAGCTTTGACCCCTTGTGCCTTATTGCCTCTTTATCCTGTTGGTCACCACGTCCTATTCATGCCTCCACTCAATGAATTCTTAGCCTCCTTTCCAAAGTAAATCCAGAATACTCCCTGTCTTTGCCCACTTACCTACCTATGTTAGTCAGCTATTGCTGCAAACCTAGGGACTTACAACAATAAGGGTATATTTTTCTTGCTCACTGGTTTGAGGGTCCCCAGGGACAGATCTGCTTCAGTCTGTAGTTGGTTGGGCTCCAGGCTTTAGGTCAGGAACAAATTTACATCACATATCTCTCATCATCCTTGGACCAGCAGCTGTTTGGGGCATGTTCTTCTTAAGGCAAAAGGCATGAACACAAGAAGGCAAGCAGAAAAACATGATCTCTCTTGAGCTATTAGCTCAAAACTGGAACACTATGACTTCTACCCACATCCCATTGGCCAAAGCAAACCACAGGACCAATCCCAACATCAATGAGGCTAGAAAATATACTCCATTCACTCTAGGGGGAGGTATTGCAAAATCATATGGCAAAGGGTATAAATGTGTAATTCTAACAAAGAGAGGGCATGGATAATTGTGACCACTGAATGAATCAATAAACAAAAGTCCATCCTTTGGTCACAATTATTCACATCCCTCTCACACTCAAATTACACTTAACGTCTCCCCAAGACACTACAATGGGATGGAGACATGTGGAGCAGACCTGAACCCAACTCAGCCTGGAGCCAACACCAACTTAGGTGACCTGCAGCCTAAAACAGAGATACTCCGCTAAGCCAGCCTAAATCAGCAGAACTAAAGGGTATTTGCTGATAGAAGACCTGAGTTTTAGGGTGGTTTATTAGGCAGTATTTATGTGGCACTAGCTGATTAATATAAAGCATTCTCTCATTTTTTTTCTATATCCTTGACATGACTTCAACACTTTCTCAAACTTCTTGAATCCTTCTTAGGTCTCAGATTGACCCAAATCTTCTTTCAACACCTGTTATCTTCGTCTTATCTCCATTAGTATCTATAGAGGCTATGCTACTTACTTTATACTTTAAATATAGTCACTCCGGGTATTTTTGAAAACTTGTTATTCATTCATCTTTCAACAAAGACTTTTGAACACCTACTATGTGAACAATGACAGGAGCTAGGAATACAATGATGAAAACAGAAGCCATCTTCAAGGACTTTATAGTCTAATAGGAACAAAATAGTAACAATTAAGAAGGGACATGAATGCTTTAATTTCTAAAATATCAGTCTTAGATGCTCAATGAAAGTTTAAGCCAAGGCAAAGAGTTAAAGGCAAGGATTATTTTATTCTTTCTTGATCCCCTTATAGCACCAAGCCACAGAGCCTTTCTAGAATAAGTGTCCAGTAAACAGTCAATTGTTTTGTTGTTAAATGGCCCCTACATGACAACTGCCTTTGTGATATGTCTAGCGGCTGAGTCTTTCATCCACTGTTCTCAATCACTGACAGAAAATGTGTCGAACATTGTGCAAGGCCCAGGTGGTCTTGGCTGCCAAGGGGAGCATAGTCTGGATGAGATAGGTATGTATACACAAGATCATGATAGTAGTTAAGATACACGAGAGTACTATTGGAGCAAAGAAGGGTGACCAACTTCATCTGGGGAAGTAACTTTATAATGTTATAATTATAGTTAGATCTTTAAGTGTACAAGTTTTTTGGGAAGAAAAAACTGGGAAAGGCTACTCTAGGTCACAAGAACATCATGTACAAAAGTACAGAGTCATGAAAAAGCAGCTGGGTTTGGAGATTAGCAATGCATAAGGTATGGATAGAATTTAGGTTGGGTAGGAGCTGAGGGATGAGAGATGAGGCCACAGCTGAACTGAGAAGAGCTCTGCATGCCAAAGTGACGAACTGAGATATTATTCTATGGAGATCAAAGAACAAATGGAACATTTTAAGAATGGAAGAATAGTGATTGGATTCTTTTCTTTATTTGGGGGTGACCACCTCCTGTAGTATGCAGGTTGGAATACATAAGGATAACTTGATTATAGAAAGATCAGTTAGGGGGGCCGGCTCCGTGGCCGAGTGGTTAAGTTCGCGTGCTCCACTGCGGCGGCCCAGGTAAAAAAAAAAAAAGCAAGATTGGCAACAGTTGTTAGCCCAGGTGCCAATCTTTAAAAAAAAAAAAGAAAGAGCAGTTAGGAAACAGTTCCAGGCCCTAAATGATAAAGGCCCATCTAGGCTGGAGGTGGATTGGAGAGATGTTTCTCCCATGGAATTGACAGGATATGCCGAGTCAGTAGATGGGCAATATAGGGGAGAAGGAGGTAAACCAAGGCTGCATCGTGTCTAAGCTGGGAGCCCAATGGGAGTAGTGACTTCATAAAGTAGGAGGAAAGGCAGGTTAAGTAGAAAGAGCACTACTCTAGCACAATGGTAGCACTACCCAATTACATCTTGTTCGTTATACTCATTGCTCTACAATCTGGGTAAGGTACTTCACCTTTCTGAACCACAGCTGCATCATCCCTAAAATGGAAAAATAATATCTACTTCGTGACATTGTCCTGAGGTTAAATAGGAGTAAAACATAAAAACATCTAGCTTACTCCCTCGATAAATAATTCTTGATTGAAGGAAACTGACAGAAATAGAATGAATAGCAGAGACAAGGGTTTAAAAGTAGGCTTGGTTATGTGACCTTGAGCACGTTACCTAACCTCCTTGACACTCAGTTTCCTTATAAGTGAAATGGAAAATTTGTCCTACCTCATTGTTTGGTTGGGAAGATTAAATCTGAAACCCTGTGCAGAGACTGATGTAGTCACTGGCACATAATTGATGCTGAATAAATGTGCATTGAATGAAAGTATCAATTAATTCAACTAAGCTCAGTACTTCTCATTTAAGGAAGTAGAAAACTACCTCAGTTCAGTAAATATTACCTACACACTCATAAATATACACACAAAAGAGGATGTTAAGTCTGTCTTACATTAGAATTTAAAATGCTAAGCTCCTATTATTTGGAAAGTTAACTTACTTAGAAAAGTTCCTTCTTCAATAATGTCCAAAATAACGGCATGCCTCTCTATTCTGGTTGTGTTGAATAACAACTAGAAACTAGCTTCATGTCTTCTCATTAAAGACAAAGCCAGGTACACAACTAATTCTTTGTGCAGACTGTAGACGACCTGCATAAATATTACCCCAAAGAAGTAGTACTAGACTGAGAAAACTTGAGAACCACTGTTTTTAAATAACCCAACTACTACCAGCATTAATTCATTTTTTAATTGTTTGAATACCTTTGATGAATCGTTGTGGGTATTACTTCTGCTTGAATAAATGCATTTACTTTGTATATGGTTGCTGTGACAGATAGTGCTGGATGTTTCGTAGAATTCCTTCTTCTCAACTTTCTTTTAATAGATGAGCCCACTCCTCCACCCTCTAACCTTCCTTCTCCACCCCATTTTTTTAGAAACATGGCCTCCCAGCTACAGACTACATTTCCCAGCATCCCTTGAGGCTGAGTTCATGTGTAAAGTTCCAGGCAATGGGAGAGGAGGGAAATTGATATCTTTCATTTCTGGGTCATCTCCTTAAAGACACTGGCCCTGGCCTCTCTCCTATCCCTTCTTTTATGGGCTGTGGCACAGACGTGGTAGATAGAGACCCAGCTTTGGTAATGCTGACAAGCACGACATCAGGGAATAGTAATTCAGCAGAAAGGAAGTAACCTGTGTCCTTTAATGACCTTGAGGAGTCAATCTACTTCATCACCTGGACCTCGGGACTGAAATGTGAGAAATACATTTCTATCTAAGTAAGCCACTATCTTTTTTTTTTTTTCCTTTGGTTATAGCATTTCAACCTCTACCCCATGGAATACAGGGTTTTACCTTGCTTTGCAAGAATTAAAAAAATGGTTTCAATTGTGAAAATTGCCTTTAGGACAATATGTATAAATACAAAAGTCTGATGTGCCAGGCTGAACTTTCTGAATACTTGTTATCACACCAAGGTTATTACCAAGGGCTTTTCCATTGCTCCTTATTTGGTAACGGTATTTTGAGTTTGAATGGAGAATGGTTAATTGTCAACTTGGTGGTTTTGATTATGTTTATGCTGTTGTTTGTAAGTAGCAGTTTTCCATTTCTTTTATTAACCTTGCCAGTGCGCGCTGGTTGAATAAACTAAAGACATTTCCATTTGCCTTCTCTCTGTTACTAGACATAACCATAAATTACATAAAGAAATGAGAGCCTAAAAAAAAATGATTCAACAAATTTTAACCTTGAAATAATAGTGTCAATTTTGTATACCATAATCACCAATTTCCATTAAAAATTTTTTTTTGACAAGAGGGCAGTATTGGAAACAGAATTTCAATATTGTTTTGACAGTATTTTGACAATGCGACAAAATAGGATTCAAGATTCTAGATTTGCATACCTTCAGTAATAGAGTATCTTGCATCAGTATTTTTATTACTAGTGTGATAAATAGCCATGAGATGGTTTAGTTGTCAAAAACAAAGTCAATAAAAAAGATAGGTAACACAGAATTAGAGCACCAGGAGATGGTGGAACACAGCATAATATAGACAGAACATTTCAAAGTTATTACTCACGGCCACTTATACAACTTAACTCAATCACGTATAGGACTATCGTGGATCGACGGACTTGCAAAATAACTGTACTGCTGATATTTCAGTCACTATCAATAATTCTCAACTTCACAGAAGCTAAATCAGTTTCTTCCTCTCGCCTTCCCAGTAACCAGTGACAGCTGTTGTAGTGGAAAGAACGCCTGGCTAAGAATCAGGAAACTTCATCGCTAGCCCTGGCTTTCCCACTTACTAAGTGTGAATTTGGACAGGACATTTAACCTTTGCTGAGGATGATTATGAAGTTCAGAGTAAGATCATCTATAAAATGTATTTTGGAAAATAAATAGCTTTATACAAATATACAGTAGTATGCATATATATGTGTGTGTGTGTTATGTAAGAAAAACTGTCATTAACAATATAAAGGCACCTATAAATGTATTTGTTCATATACACATATGAGCACATATATACAGGTATATATATTCATGTATATAAAGATTATATATTTGCATACACACACACACACACTAGCTAAATTAAAACTTTGCTATTTAGGATTTATGTCCTGGCTGCTTCTAAAACGAGTCAAGGCAGTTGAAAATTAACACAATGCAAAGGTGCAACAAGAAGCTTTAAAGCAAAACAAAGTCCATGTAGATGACATTTAAGAAGTATTTTTTAGTGGAGCACTTCTGCTCTTCATTGACGGCTGAAAACCAAGCAGATAAAGGGACATTCATAGTAATAATAACAGGTTACTAATAATTTATTGTACACCAGTGAACTCTCCCCCTCCAAAGAAAAGTTAGACTCTTGACAATAACCTATATTTGGCCATACGGTTTCACCCACATCCCATTCTTCTGTCTCCCCCTCCCTGGGTGATGAAGTTAATAGGCCAGCTTTGCCAGAGTTTTCAGGAAATAACATCTGGGAGGTGTCAGGTTCACATAGTGGAATACGAGGCACACATTAGTCTTGCACCCTAGAGTCAGTGGTACTGTTACTGTAACAAACTCTTGAGCTTTTTTCTTAGTGATCATCTTTAATCATGAGATTAAGGAACAAGACGACTATCATGAGAACAACCCATCTTTCCTTTACCTAGTCTCACACCATCTGATGGTTATTGAGGTCCCAATAATCTTCCTTACTAAAATAATTTCAAGTGAGCTACATTCTTTTTTATATACGTGTAAATAAATTAGGAATTAATTGCATTGTTGGGTGGAGGGTAATACAGAGACCTGTGATTCATCAGCTTGAACAATACCATTCAATTTTGAAACCATCCATCAATTCCCTTTGATCTTTATTTTAACACTACCAAAAGTAAAGCATTGCATGTTATGGCCTCAGTCCTCAACTTGAACCAAAAATATGTTAGACTGTATTTTTATTGGACAGATTAGTATTGATGGTCATCTATCTCAAACTGAATCACACACAGTAATCACTGGGTTAACATTGGGACTAGCAAAGAATGGTATTTGAGATTCTCTCCCACCCCCTAGTCTTCTTAAAAATGGTAACAAATAAAATGAGTTACAAATATCTGCACAGGTGGCCTGGAAACAGAGTAAGAGTGATGATTGAATACCATTTCTGTACTTCGTTCTACTGCTGTGGTCGGACTCATCACTTAACCAGAGCTTCACACCAGGAGCGTGTCCAGACATTAAAAAAAATGCTCACAACTGAGATGTAGGCCTTTCAAAAGGTGGAATTTCTTCTCCAGAGTCATATTTGTACTTTCTGATACTCACAAGAAAACAGTTCCTATAGAAGAATTCTGCAGCAATGCTTTCAAAGTTTGCCACCTTATAACCGTAATGTGCCTTTCTTCCAAAGGAGACCTCCAGAGCAGAGTCTCACTTAGTTATCACAGTGTACTGGCCAAATAGGCTGCAGAGCACGCTGGCCCCATTTTACAAATGGACGCCTGAGTGTCATCTCAGCCTCTCCCCACACAGAGAGAACAAGAGTGACAGCCATGTATTCCACTCATTTCTTGAATGTGCATTTGTGAGCTCACATGTCAATGCCAGACTCCTTAAGCAGGTGCAGAGTAAACAAGTAAAATACATTAGGAACGCTGGTCCTTGTGATTAGAATTTAACCAGTCTCGCAGAGCTACTGCAAAGGGACAAAATGTATGGAGGTAAACATAGTCTAGTTGACCCCAGACTCACCTGACCCCTCTTGTCCTCTTGGAGTTGTAAATACCTGCCCAGATTGGCAGAAGTCGGCTAGAACAGAGACAGTGGAGAGAGAGAGAAGCCCCAAACCCTTAGCCTTTATATACCCCCTCTCTCTCTATTCAAACATCCTCTTCACTCTGATTGGCTTCTGGTTCTCTCACTGTCCCTTGCCTTTGAAGTGTTCTCCACTCAGCAGCACTCAGGGTTAATGTCCCCAACTTCCCCAAAGCATCTACGCACATCCTGGGCACGTAAGTGTATTTCCAGTGACCCAAAGTGACAGTCAGTGGACGGTAGCTTCTTATAACTCCTTTTCCTGAAGACTTGTGTGTCTCCCTTGGACGGCTTGTCTTGGCTCTTCTAAAAGGCCAAGGGAGGTTATCTATTCTTTTCACCCACAGGATATAAACCATAATGTGATTCTGTTTTAAAAAGATGGTCTGCAAGACTGGCAGATCACTGCCAGAAAGAAAACTCAGGTTCCATATTTGAAGCCCTACCTCATCTTCCAAATCAAGAACCTCTAAAAACTTATGAGCCCATTATTGCCTTTCTTTTTGTTATCTTCCCACCCAGATTCACAATATTTTCCTTTCTTAATCTGATTTTTCCCTTTTTTCTTCTTTATAAACTTTATACAGTTCATGCTGACACAGCTGAAGCTATGGATTGTTTTTCTGAAAAAAAAAAGGAAAACAAATTCTTTATTCCAGGCTTCCCACACCATATTATAGAATGAACACATGTGATTTCTAAGGAGTCATAACTGAACTAATTTTGTCATTTCATCGTCATTTCTTGACTGCACAAATGAATGTTCAGGTCAAATTCTGTCATAATAGGATAAGGGAGTTTCCAAGCTCTTTTCTTGGGGTAAAATTTTATTATACCCATTATTGAGTAAAAGCAAAAGAGAAGTTTAGGAATCATTCAGCTATGCATAGACTTTGCTGTTATAATGGTATTTGCTGAAATGGCAGATGTCCAATATACCATTTTTGAATTTCACCATGACCATTTCTGAAAGCCAGAATGTGATAGCATTCTTACCTACATGTAATTGAATTTTACAGTTTTGGTCTACACAGAGACTACAAAAACCTCTTTTTTAAAATCATGTTTAATTGAATTGAACTGATTTCTGCCAAAGGGATAAATATCTGCTTTCCCTGAAATCTTTATTTTAGTGAAATTCAATTAGTAACGAGATTTAACTTTTTTGACAATGAATTTATAACATACTAAGTTTAATCTCTTGAAATCTTGAAACAGACTAACACATCCCTCTGTCCCAATTTCTCTGGATGCAGATGTACTGAATGTCCTCTCAGAATCCTCAAATGTTGAGTTATTTTTGATTCAGAACATTTCCACTGGTTGCCCTTGAGTAGACATGCCATATTATCACGTTACCTTTGGAATCTCTTTAGACTGTGACCCACATTCTCAGCAAGGCAACTAGATATGAACACCTTCTTCTCCGCTGACTTTTTCTTTTTAAATGACATCTCCCTTGAGTAACTGGTCACCTTGCAAGGTCTCAATCCATTGAGTTGAGTACATGTGATACACATTCAATCTATTAACTATAGGGATTATTTTCTCAATTTAGAAGTACCAAGAACATTATTAATATCTCCCTACATATTTGAGTTGTGAAGTTCACAATGTTGTCCTAGAGAATTGCATTCCTCAATAGTTCTTGTCTGTATGTGTGTTTGTGTAGTCATATACCTACAGTTAAAAACATAAGTTCTAGGTCAAGTCCCACCTATCTAACTCACAATTCGGGCTTTGATAAAATAAATATTCATTTAAAATTAGCTCTTAATATTAATTATTGTTCTCTGTGGATACAGAACAGGATATTCTGTCTTTGACAATAATCTTTTCCACATGGTCTGTCTGAAAAGAATCTTGTGAAGTAACTGTCTCCTTGTCTTCACCTCCCGTCTCCAGGTGCCCATACCAATCTTCAGAAGTGTGTTTAGCTAACAAAGACTTCAAATGTTCTGTCTACCCAAGATATCTTCATTTTAATCAAGAATGAATCTTAATGAATTTCTAAATGTTTCTAAAGGTTTCCAAATACCCTTGATGAGGGTAGGGGAGATTGGGGTGGAAACATTGCCAGTATTTTGAAAAGAAGGGAGCAGAAGAGAAGTGGCAACATGCATACCTTGCAGTTTTAATGAGCAAAATTGCACCAACTAGTACTTCCATACATTATTTCTAATCTTTACCCTGAAAAGTGGGTATTATTATTAACTCCAGGTTTTTAAATAAAAAAGCTGAAGCTCCCACTTGTTATGTGACTTGCCCAGGGTCAGACAGCAGTGAAATGAGAGGCAAGATTCAAACCAGATCAATGGAGGCCCACACCCACCCACCTGAGCCTGCACATTTTCCTGGACTCTGTCAAAAGTCTTTGGAGAAGGATAAGTAAGAGTTCAAAATCTCCAAGGATCAGTTCCAAGCAATTTGGAATTTGTACAGGAAAAGATGTTTGAATCAGAAGATATATATATATATATATGGAGAACCTAAATATGCCCCTCCCTCCATCCTTTTAAAACCCAAGGAAGGTAGAAGAGTAAAACAGAAAGTGCATAGGCTTAGAAGTCAGACAGCACTGGGTCAGATTCTGCTTCTGCCATTTACAATACCAGCTCTTACCCTGGGTAAAATTATTTAGCTTTTTGGAGCCAAGTTCTCCTACATAAAAAATGAATATGGGCTAGCCTCATGGCCTGGTGGTTAAGTTCAGCACGTTCTGCTTCGGTGGCCCAAGTTCAGTTCCCGGGTGCAGACCTGCATCACTTGTCTGTCAGTGGCCATGCCGTGGCAGTGGCTCACGTACAAAAAGAGGAAGATTGGCAACAGATGTTGGCTCAATGCAAATCTTCCTCAGCAAAAAGAGGAAGATTGGCAATAGATGTTAGCCCAGGGTGAATTTTCCTCAGGAAAAAAAAAGAATATAACAATATCCATCCTATGAGCCTACTGTAAGATTAAATGAAATAACTTATACAAAAGTCTCAAGATAAGTGTCCCACTCCTAGTATGACCTCAACAAATGGTTCTTCCTAAGGGCCATTTCTTCATCCTTCCTTGAATGGCTGGAATGGTCCTTCCTTTCATCTATTGTTATAGTTTATTTACAACCTTTAAATAGCTGCAAAGGAAGACGATTTTCAAGTCAACAGCAACATATTCTTAAATGAGCACTGGATAGCAGCTGTACCATCATGGCTATGAGCATGAATCCTAAATCCTAACTGCTGGTTCAAATCCTGGCTCTACTCTTTATAGGTGATGCTATCTTAGCACATTTGCTTAATGTTTCTGTGCCTCAGTTTCCTTATCTGTAAAATAGAGATAATGATGGCATTTCCCTTGTGAGATTTTGTAAGATTCAAATTCATTAAGACAAATGAAGTGCTTAGTACAAAGACTGGCACTTAGTACGTGCTCCATAAATGCTAGCTATTATTATTAACCAAGCAAATAATAGAACTAGAACAATAATTCTCAGTCAAGGATGATTTGGCCCTCCAGGGGACATTTGACAATGTCTGGAGACATTTTTGATTGTTACAACTCAGGGAAGGGATGACATCTAGATGGTAGAGGCTAAGGATGCTCTAAACATTCTAAAATACACAAGGCAGCCCTCACAACAAAGAATCATCCAATCAAATGTCCACAGTACCAAGGAGGAGAAATACCGAGCTGAGAAAAATCATCCCTGGTCAACAGAGATCCTAAGATATGTTCCCCCTGGAGCACAAATAGTCATTAACTAGATATTGCTGGAAAACCAAACATCCCTGTAGAAACTACACCCCATTCAATGGCAATGTTGGAAAAAGTCAAAATAGTTATTAGAACACGTCACAACTAGAAGGACCCACAACTAAAATATACAACTATGTACTGGGGGATTTGGGGAGAAAAAGCAGAAAAAAAATAGTTATTAGATATATGAGATTATACCACTTGAGTATGTCTTAGAGTGATGTTAAAATACTCTTTTAAAAGACCAATAATTATCATTAGAATCACCATTCTAAAATTCATTGAATAAGAATCCTGAGAAAGGATGCATAATGGCTTTAGAAACCGCAGGTCCCATAAAAATTAACACTTGCAAATTTATCTGGATTCCTTCCCTCATAGGACCCAGCAAGAGGAAGTGATCTGCTTATAATGGATACTGGGTAGGAAAGAAAGTGGGCATGAGTTTTCTTACTCCTTTCTATGTTCATCCTCCCCAACCTTGCTTAGATACTTTCTGGGATTGGGATTACTGAAAGAAAGCTAAGTATGAAGGACTCAAAGTCTCTCTTTCCTCGCAGTCTCAATGTCTCAGATGAATTTAGCAGGATCTCTTGCTGGGAGGATTCGTTTTCAGTCCTCTCGGTGAGCTTCTCTATATCTTGTCTAGCTTGAGTTGAAGAGGGTATGTTGGCAACTTGAACCAGAACCGACTAAGCACAGGGGATGGCCTTTCCTTACCAAAAAATAGCTTTCAAAGTCTGAGGAGGAAAATAGGAATCTCTCCATAAGGAACTCACCCTTGGTCCTGACCTTCAATATTTGGGACTTGATGGTGGGAACTCAGGGAACTGGAAATTTACAGTGAGGTCCCCCTTCCTTCCTCAGTCCTTGGTAGGGAGGTACTTCTCAAACTCAGAATACTGTTCCAATGAACAGAGAATGCATGAAGAGGTATGACTCCTTTCTCATGCTTGCAGGTAAGATCCACCAGAAGGTCATATGTGTTTAGGATGGACTCAACATTGTCTGCCATACGTCAGAGGGAGATTCTTTGTACCATTCTGATTGGAGTGGGCTAAATAATGGTGCCCAAAATATCAGGGCCTAATCCCTGGCCCCTGTAACTGTTACCTTAAAGGTAAAAAGGGTCTTTGCACATATGACTAAGTTAGGGATCTTGAGATGGGGAGATTATCTTGGATTATTTGAGTGGGCCTTAAATGTAAACATGAGTATGCTTATATGAGGGAGGCAGAGGAAGATCTGACACATAGAGACAAGGAAAAGGCCATGTGACCAGGGAGGCAGAGACTGAAGGGATGTAGCCACAGGCCAAGCAATGCTAGAATCCACCAGAACTTGGAAGGGTCAAGGAATGGATTTCTAATGCCTTGATTTCTGTCCAGTGGAAATAATTTTGGACTTCTAGCCTCCACAACTGGGGGAGAATACATTTCTATTGTTTTAAGCCATCAGTTTGTGGTATGTTTCAGTAGTCACAGGAGTCTAATACACTGGTCACAACTGTGGATTCTCTTCTCACAGGCCTCCATTAGCCTAACCTAAGAGGGAAAAAGGAAGGGAGGAAGAGGAAGAAGAATGAAGAAATAGAAGGCACGCAAGAGATAAAAGAAAACTGAAGAGGAAGAGAAGAAGAAGAATTGAAAAGGTAGAGGAGAAATAATTCCCTGAATGGTATAGGTCACATGTGAATCCTATTGGGGAGAAGTACATATATAGCCCCTAAATTCCACTTCTATTTACATGATGAACATTAAGGCTATGCCTAGGCCTGGGTCATAAAAGGAATTTGTCTTTAAAACATCTTCACGATTCATCCGATGGTCATAATGTAACTTACTTAAGTTTTCCTCATTAAGGTTACCAATGACCTCCTTTCGGTCAAAAGACAGAAACCCCTTAGTCATCAAGCTCTTTAACCTGTCTTACCAACACTAAACATCCTTCGAGATCCTGCTCATAACCCACTTCCTCCCCAAAATCTCCCTTGATCTTTGTTGCTTCCGTTTCCTGAATTCCTATGACACTCACAGGAAGCATGTCTGTTATTTCTGCCCTTCCAAAAAGAGGCCAGGGATGCTGCTAAACATCCTAAAATGCACAAGACAACCGCCTGCAACAAATAATTATGATATTTTTATACCCCCTCCAGCAATTTGCACAGGGCTGGTCTGTAATAGAGTCCTTGTGGTGACTGCCCACTATTTTGAGTCCAATAATACGGATGGTCTCATTTCCTTCATCTTCTACCTATTTATCATATTGTACAATGATGACTGATTTTGAGAATTATGTCCCTGAGGCATGTTAGGTCTAAATGATAAAAAATAGATTGACAAAATTCATTGTCTAGCTAGTTAAAAAAAATCTACTCACACATTCTAGAAAGATTTCCAACTGAAAGAGTTGAGGCCAGAAAGCATTTCTCATTCATCCTAGTTTAACCCCAAAGTGCAATTAACTACAACCCCTCAAGTCCCAAATATTTGAAGCATCTGAAGATTTACTTTATTACCAGAAGAGTTAAAGGTTTGTCCTAAAATATACCTGAAGGTACTTGCCTTCTGGTATTTATTTCACAGTATGTGGCAAGTCTTAGTATAAAAATAAGCTTATTTTTTAATTGATTATATGTTTCTGGTTTAAAATTTCCCAGAGGAAAGTCTCCATTCTTGGGCCTCTTTATGTTTTTCATAGTGGTTTTTTTCTCTTTTTTTTTAGTGAGGAAGATTGGCCCTGAGCTAACATTTGTTGCCAATCTTCCTCTTTTGTTTTTCTCCCAAAGCCCCAGTACATAGATGTATATCCTAGTTGTAAGTCATTCTTGTTCTTCTATGTGGGATGCCACCATAGCATGGCCGGATGAGCAGTGCGTAGGTCTGCACCCAGGATCCCAACTGGTGAACCCCGGGCCACTGAAGCAGAGCATGCAAACTTAACCACTCAGCCACGGGGCCGCCCCCTTCATATTGCTTATTTGCATCCAGTGTAACTGAAACTGAAGTTCAGTTCAGCAAAGTGTCCCACAGTAAGTGATCAGGTAACTGCCCACATGCCAACCATTATGTACACACCTGGCTAAAGAATCTAGTCAAGGACATGCAACTGTCTGCAAGCATCCCTCATGATGTCACGTTTAAATGTTTATTATTTTTTAAGCATAAAAAGACTAAGGCACATTGTGCCATTCCCATAATGTAAAAGCAGTGAATATAAACCACATCATACAATTATGAATCACAAACACACAGAGAATGGAAATAAATTAAACAAGTGAACTAATTAACTCACTTCCCAAACAGAAAACCAAGCCATAAAATATTGTACACCTTAGTGAAATAACAGCTGTTCTTATTAAAAACCATATATTCCATTAATACGATATTTTGTAATTTATTGCCTTTCCCACCTTGGAAAAATTATGTTACAGCTATATGGCCTATATTAACATTTTTTTGGCCTTTTATAAGTAACAGCTTTTGAAACTGGACATTTAGCTATCCATTGTCAGTTGCTTGAGAAAAGCTCTCTCTTTTTTTTCTGGCTCTTTTAGAGCACTCCAAAAGAATGATTTCAGAGAAATCATAAAAAGATTAATTCATAATGATGAAATGATGAAATTCAAAAATATAAATGCACCCCCCACCCCCGCCCCAGTGTGTTATCTATGTATCTAGAGCATGATGCAGTCACTTCATCCACATGAACCACAGATTTCTACTGTGATGACCTTAATTAGGCCAGAATAATGACAGGATCAAAAGGCCCACACACCCTGGAAAGCTTAGAGCCTTTTTAAGTAGGGAAAAAAGTTCTGGACTAGGCTGATATTACCAAATTCCTTTCTTCCGCTTTCTAAAGAGAATCCTATAGGTTGTAGCCTGTTTTCCTGTTTGTTAACGATAAAATGCTTAATATTCTACTAGCTCTTTCCGAAGCTCTTCAGCGTCACTGTCATCCTGAGAGAACTCGGTCCCTGAAGGGGAAAATAGTTTTCTTCACCCAGGGCCTCTTTCCTTGTATTAACATCCCGTGAGAATATTAGCTCTGGAGGAAAGAATTTGGTGGCGAAATTCCATATTTACTCATGAAATCCACCCCCAACTTCCAGTCACATGTTTTAGTAGGACAGTCAGAAGAAAAATTCCCCATTCCCACTGCCCTGTCTTCCTGCTCCCCCTTAGCTTCTTCTGACACCCATTCTAGGGTTTTTTTCTTCCTGAACCAAAAGCCACTTTTACTAGCAGAGGCTCTTTAAGGCAGAAAAATACTTAAGTTAAAAAAATTACTTGGCACTGGCTGGAATATAGAGACAGGAAATGGAGTCTGTTCAGTCCTCTGGGCTCTAACCCCACCTGACTCCTCTTTTTTCCCCTCCCTTGGGTTGTAGGAAGGGTATATAAGAGTATATAAGGCTCAATAAGATGCAGGCAGTATTGTGGGGTTGACAGGTTGCCTCTCTTTCCTTTCCTAGAAATGTTGCTTCAAAGACCCAGAGAAAGAAAAGAAATTCCTTAGTGCCATTGATTTCTTAAAATGATTTTTAAATGGCTGTTTGCACATGTGGCCGAGTAACAAAGCACAGGAACTCTGATGCCACTTTTTGCATTCAACTGTGGGCTCCATATGCCATCTTGGGTAAGTTACTCAATTTCTCTGTGCGTCAATTTCCTCATTTGAGATATATTCTTGAATGAAAATGATAATACCAACCTCATAGGGTTGTGAGGATTAAACGAGTTAAAATATGCAAAGTACTTCAGAATAGTGCTGGCACATAGTACACAGTATGTATTAGGTATAAATATCTACACCTCTTTCCCAGACACATAGGAAGATCTGAAGACATGGTTATAGCAATATAGTGTGTATATGTGTGTGTGCATGTATTCATATATATAAATAAATCAACTAGCACTAAATACTTGATGAATTAAATATGCTAATTCTAAAATCCAATTAGCTTTTTCCTGATTGTTACATAGTTTGAGTGATCCCTTGCTATGCAGTAAATGGAGACAAGAATCTCAGAGGTCAAAGGAGATTTTTACAGCTGAAGTGGATCAGGCCTAGATAATAAAGAGAAGCAAGGGGGATGGCTCCGTGGCCGAGTGGTTAAGTTCGGGCGCTCCGCTGCAGCGGCCCAGGGTTCAGATCCTGGGCGCGGACATGGCACCACTCCTCAGGCTACGTTGAGGCGGTGTCCCACATCCCACAACTAGAAGGACCGGCAACTAAGATATACAGCTGTGTACTGGGGGCTTTTGGGGAGATAAAGCAGAAAAAAAAAAAAAAGCAAGAAACTTTTATGGCGGATCACCGTGTACAATGTTCTAAGCTTGGCACTTTTCATGTGCCATTACATATAAGTCTCCTAACAATTCTTTTCAAGTAGACACAATTAGTTCCATTGTGCAGATGAGATAAATGAGCTCATGTTAAGTAACTACCCGATATTACACAGCTAGTAAGTTAGTGGTGGAGGAAGGATTCTAATCCTACATCATTTTTAAGCAAAACATAACATGGAAAAAGGAGGAAGGCAGATTATGCAAGTAAAATTTTACAAAAGGTTAATTATTGAATAGATCGTTGACAGACAAGATTTGTAATTCAAAGATGGTTTGGCATCTCTTAGAATTAGCTTTGAGGTAGAAATTCAGACTATACACTGTCCACTCTTAATCCGGTGAAGAATGCCATTGTACATTTCAACAGTAGACTCACAGACTATCAGAGACAGAAGTGACCCAGAAGACCATTTAGTCCAACTCCTCAGTTAACAGCTAAGCAGCACAGGAGGTGAAATACGAGGCTCAATGTGCTATAGGCAATTAGTGGCGGAAGCAGCCAGGATTCCTCTGGAGCCAACACTCCTCCCCTTTCAGCATGCAGGATGGCCAAGTGGGACACCACAGTTTTAAATCCATCCATTTAGGTGAATGTAAATTCCAGTTAATTTTAAATACCCCAATTCCTACTTAAGCATCTAAACCTAAAAAGAATATTAGGGTGATTCTTAAAATTCTTTGGGAAGATGTAATGAATAAAAGAATATTCTTTAGTGGAAAGCAGGGAGAGTTGTAGATCTAGGAGTTGCTACTTTTAAAACCTGACTAAAATTCTGGTATTGTTGTATCCTGTCAAACAGGAACAAAAATTAAATATTGTCTTGGTGGGAGATCAGCTTTTTAAAGGGAAAGTGCTGGTCTTCTTCATGCAGAGTGGAATTGAAAGGATCTTTAGGGGCTGGCCCTGTGGTTGAGTGGTTAAGTTCATGTGCTGCACTTCGGCAGCCCAGGGTTTTACTGGTTTGGATCCTGGGCACAGACCTAGCACCACTTATCGAGCCACACTGAGGCAGCATCCCACATAGCACAACTACAAGGACCTACAAGTAGAATATACAACTATGTAGTGGGGGGCTTTGAGGGGAAGAGGGGGAGGGGAAGGAGGAGGAAGAGAAGGAGAAAAGATGGCAAAAGATGTTAGCTCAGGTGTCAATCTTTTAAAAAAAAGGGTCTTTTTTTTTTTTTTCCTTAGATTGCATTCATTCACCAAATATTTGCTGAGTACCATACAGCTATAATAACAGGAATCCTACTTTCCTTGCACATTTCACAGTGTTCATTACAGTGCTGGGCTTTAGGTAGTCATTGATGGATTGGTGGTGCCTTCTCCTATGTTCAGTATATTAAATGACTGCAGGACAAAGCCACTGAGGTTATGTCAACTGCTAATGATGACTTCCTATGGAGGTGGAAGGAAATGGCTCGTGACTATTCCCATGCTTTTCTTGTCCAGAACCATGCAGCATAGTATGCACTTCCTTAGTTATAATATCATCAGTAATGTGAAGTCCAAAGGCTTAAAATTTCTTTCATTGTGCATGCATCAGAAGTTTATAATCAATAGCACTATCTCTTATCAGGCTGACAAGCATCAGGCTGTGTGATGCTACCCATACTAAAAAAATTGCACCATCTAGCTCTATCATAGTATATAGCTAGATCATAGGGCCTAGGAAGCTTTGTTAATATGAGTTATAAGACATATGAAAAGCACATTATTCATGACTTCAGCAACTCTAAATTATTGCAAACATAACAAAAGAGCTGAAAATGCCAGACCTTGGGAAGCTCAAACTTTTTGACCTAAAACTTCAAAATATGCCAAACATCATTTTGGTAGAAAGAGTTGTAGATTGCAATACCAATATGGAGAGAGAGGAGATACTAAAGGTAAAGACAAAGAAGGACGGAAGTACACAACTCTAAGAGATTTTTTACAGTAGACACTTAGCTCAAGTCAGCACATAAACTACTAACTGACAAGAAATTGGCATTTGAACTAAGCAAGGGTCTTAAGCCAAATGTCCTGAAATAAAGGAATGCTGGTGGGATGAATAGGCAATGAAGCCACAATCAGCCACAAAATAGCTGGCTATTAGCAGGCCTGTGAGGCCCAGCAAAAATCTCCCCACCATATTGCATAGGGCGTGGAGCAAAACTTCCTGAAAATGATATTGAAAAGTCAACAATCATGAAGCAACTGATGTTAACTCATCCATGGGTCCCTCCACTTTCCCTAAAATACCACATTGCAAAGTCAACTTTGGATTTAAGGGATCAATATTACAATCTCAAGGATTTTGCTCCACGTTAACCATCCAGTGAAAAAGTCTTGGTGAACTGTGGGGTGATGACAGGAATCTACAAAAATCCACAAATATGATGACCAACACATAATCAGGCCTCAATTGTACACAAACACAATGGAGACAGTATATGCAATGATAATTTACTGATATCCATTATGAGAAAATCAGTACATTTCATGCTCAGTACATTAGTTGCTAATATTTGTGACATAGAGCTGTTAACTGAGCTGTTAACTGACAGGTATGGTTTTCATGCCATACATGGCACTGAAAGCATGGTTTAAATCCTTAGGCTGAAATTCCAAGAACAATACTGTGATTTGAATTTTCATGAATGCAATCAGACAACTCATCTGTTAAGGGCTGAAAGACTGCAAATTTGGCTATTGAGATCAGTTAATAAACACCTTGCTCACTGTAGTAGCGAGGCATGGTTGAGAGTGTAGGTGTGGTTAGCTCAGCCAGCGAATGTATTTTCAACATTTAAAATAGGCCAGCTACTGTGACAGGCAAAACACAGTGCCTTTCTTCAAAGCGCTTACTACCTAGCGAAGCATCTTGCAATTTTAAAATACAGTAATTATATTTAGAGCATGTATACATAATGCATCAGATAAAGATGTTTGCTAGGTACCATTGGTTGCATTCAGCAATTTACTATGTAGCTTTCAAAGATTCTTATTGTGGATACAATATTGATTGGAAGAGGTAAGAAGATGTTCAACTTATCATGACATCAAAACAGTAACAAAAAACCTAAATCTTGGTTCCTATTACATACATTTTTCTATGTTAGGCCTTTGGCTAATAATTAACTCAATGCATTGCCAATATTAAAGTGGTGATGATTTACTTTGCTCTGACTTCTCAAGTCCTACCTGGATTCCAAATATTATCAAATGGCTCTTCACACAAGTTATGGGTAACTCGGGAATTGGCTCCCATGATACTACCAGCAAAAGGTAAGTAATTATTCTGTTGGTAAAAGACAGTGTTGCTTTTGTACAATTGAGCAAACATTTGTACAAAGTCGTGATGTTGAGATGAGTACCAAAATAAACATGGATCTCATTTTGGTGCTTGCCACTTTGATGAACATTCGTTATCACATTAGGAAAGTTGGTAGGTTTCAAATGTGTTGTCTGCACATGTAGAAGGACAAAAGAAGATTCCTTACACATCCATGCTTTCAACATATAACACCTGGGTTACAGGCCCCAGAAGATTTTAACTTATCCTCCTTTAGATGCCTACTTTGTTGCCAGTTCACTTGTAATCACTCTCTGAGCAGAGCAATAAACACTAAATATTTAAGGGTAATGAAAATTTAGCCTTAACATCAACTTGCATGAATACTGCATGAGAAAGTTTTTCTTTAGCTGCTCTGTGGTACCAGTGTCTGCGACTGTACATTCCACTGAGAAATATAGAGTCCCAAAGGGTAAAATTAAGGATAGAGAACATATGACCTCAGTCACGGGCGTCAGGATAAGAAATGCATAACACATGATCACAACTCAAAAGATGTGATCTCAAGGTTACTGCAGACAGAGGATGGCAGCTGTTCAGTTGGACATCTGGATCTCAGTGGCTCCAGAACTGGATTGTTCTCACATGAGATCTGTCTATGAGCAGCTCAGCCCATCTTCAGTAATGGTTCTGAGAATTTGAGTGTAATCTTCATGTAGTGCCCAAGTAATGATACATTTTCACATACACACAACATCTTTGTTTCTGGAAAGTAAAGGTTGCCCAAAAGCAAAATATTAAAACAAGAAGGATCATTTTTGGGTTGCATACAACCCAAACTGTCCAAACTGATCCTTCACCTTCAGTGTTTACACGCAAAAGAAAGCAAAGATAATGTAAAGGTCTTGGGTGTCTTCCCGTATTATCTGATATTATCTAAATACATATAACAACTTTTTACCTGTTTTAAAAGTTCAGTTTCATTCCCTTTTCTGAGAAGAGCAATAAA